GGAGTTTATCATCCATCAGGCTCACAGCTTTGAAGCTCTGTGAGCCAAGACGTGCATTCAGTTTGTGCAGGGCTATTTTCAAGGTGGCTAACTTGGCTGGCGAGACAACAGCTACAACAATGCCAGGCCCAACACGGGATTAGTTTCCAGATGGGTTTTGTGCCATCCCTTAGCTCTATGCTGCCATAGGTACTCTGCTGTCCCTATTCACCCTGCTTTCTTCAAAGCTATACTGAATGCACTGTACAGACCACTGTAAGAGATGTAGCGCTCAAGTAATAAAGGCAAACTCTGTGAGGTATAACAAAACAGAGGACCTCTACTGAAACTAGATGTATGTAAGTAAGAAAATAATCTGCTAATTTTAAGTGATCAGCATTCACTTTACTGGAGATATGACCACTTCTGACTAACCATTTTCCTTTTACAAGTCCCAGCTGTCTTTAAAAGACTTGTCAACACTGCTATAGGTCAGACTATTTACACTCTGAAAAACCCCATGTTTCCCAGTCATGCATTACTCCAAATTCAGCTGAGAAAGTCTTAAAAAACTAACAGCACAAAGCAACAAGGATGCACAGTCACCATGCAAACATGCACTAAGATGAAGGTAACAAAAGAAAGTTGTATACCGAGTGTTCATTGCAAGTTTACCACTAGAACCAACTCACCATGTGAAAAAATACAGCTGGAAATAAAGTTTTGTATTACAGTGTGAAATAAGTGAGAATAGAAAGGAAAGAGCTTAAAGAGACATAGTCAGAATTTACTTTATTCTTTTGTATCTGTTTAAAAACTAAACAGATCAATTTTAATTACTGGGGTTTTTTATGCTAGTGCAAGCCTATCTTTGTGTGTTCAGGCTTAAACACGAGCCTATTCATTGCTCAGTAAAACTCAAAGCTTTGTGTTCTGCAACCTGACCATGTCCCTTTAAGAGAATGCTATATTTCAGAAAAACTAAATCGATTACACAAAGAACAGACTAACAGCCAAGCTCAGCATTCAGAACACTTTATTGGACAGTCAAATATAGAGTGCATTCATTCAGAACAGCCAGCTTCTCAATCTCAGAACTGCCTTCTACAAAAGCAGATTCAGTAATAAGCTCAATATGGTTTGGCCTTGCAAACATAGGTAGTTCTTTTAAAGTCTCACAAGTGTGGAGTTTTACAATAGAAGGTATAAAGTCATCCCAAGGTAGGCTGCAAGGTACGCAATGGTGAACGACTGTCCTTTGTTTGTATTTAACTTCCTCGGGTTTGGAAAGAGATTTCCCTTGTATTTTAGGCTGGAAAGTGTAAAAGCAGAGTATAGATTAGAAAGATTGAATCAGCTTGCATCACGTTAAAAAGAAAAGTCATTGCTAAAACAGAAGGAAATCAGGAACAAGTTTAAAGGAGTCACATGCAAATGGAAGACAAAACTCAGTATTTTCTAAATAAGCAAATAGAATGTTCTGCAAGGCAAACATCATTTTACCGTTCAAATGATGTCCCAGATTTCCCACTGCTACTTCGAGCCAGGCTGCTGTCACGGGCTCTTTTAAATCCCTCCCTAAATTTGAGAGTAGCTTTCATTTAAGAAAAGCTACAGAAAATTTGCTATTGGATCTTTTTTAAAATGTCTGATCTCATTAATTAAAATACCATTAAATATCATTTCAGGCCTCTAATAAACAAATAAGCCTCACATAGCATTTGATTGTTTTTCTTGTTTTGACAGCCTCGTTCGCTACATGCTCTTTTGTAACAAACATTTTGGCTTTGGGCACAAGGGGAGAATTTTCCTTGAGATGAGAAGCCACAAAAATCATTTGGATCAGGAGAGTTTCTCTCTGATCAGCTGCTGCCTCAGATTAAGTTCTTCCAGCTAGAAAGTTCTCTTTACCATCGGACACGTAGCAAATACGCCACGAATGTGCTGTTTGGCATGCTCCTTTTCTGTCCACCCCTTCATACTGTTACCAGCACTGTTTTATAGCTTATTTATAAATAAGCTAATAGGCTTGGGTTTATGTGACCCTAAAAAATACTAGCTTGCTTTGATAGCAGAATTTTTCATCGCTCTTATCAACAAGGCTCACTGTGAAAAAGTGTAAGGACTAACTGAATCTAAAGAATGCACAGGGAAGGAAGCTGCAGCGGCACTTCTGGGAAAAGCAACGCTAGGGTAACACTCTGTGACAAGGTACACACAAAAAGATGACTATGCAGGGAACAGGAAAAAAAGGGGAGCAGGAGAGCCGTTAATTTTTTTGAGAAAGCACACAGAGGGTTCCATAGGAAAAGTAGGAACAGAAACCTCTTTTGGGAGGATACAGTCGGGAACGAAGGAGGATTTTTAAAAGAGCTGATTCAACAGGAGCTTTGTATTGTGAATTTGAATTAGCTACTCAGAAGTCCAATATCAAAAATAATATAGGAAACACGTGTCAACTGTGTTCACTGTAGGGCCTTACAAATGTCTTGGACTTCTTATTATCAATAATAAGGGAGGCAGTAATCACCTGCCATGGGTTGTGACATTTATGTCAGTTACTAAGCAGCGCAAGGCATCAGATTATGGGATGTTTGGAGAGCACCAGAAGTCAGAATTAAGTTGCAGAGCACTGAGTACTCTTACCCCAGTCTCGGGCAACACAGGTATAGCCTTCAGTGGGGTGAACTGCACCACTGACTCTGCGGGTATCCCACTCAAACATTTTGGTAGAATAGGGTTAAAACTCAGTACCTTGCAGAAATGAACCTTAAGAGAAAAGAGGGAATATACTGGCATCATCTTGAGTGCCCCAGAAGGTTCACTTAATGCTTTCACATCTATGGTGTTCTTCTGACTATGTTAGAATGTAACGAGCATGACCCTCATTTCTTCCCTGAACAGCAGAGAAAATACCTACTTTGGCCTTGGTTAGATTTTTTTATTTTAGGGACAAGGAAGGATTGCATTAAAATTATGTCCGAGTTCTCAGCATTTAAAGAATTAAGCTTAAAAACTGTATTGCTTCCAGCTGCTTAAGAGACAGGAAATTAAAGTGTTTTGCCATTTAAAAATCTTAAAATCTCTAGTTTTGAAGCTCTAAAACTAAAGGATCTGTTGTGGAACTTCAGGACTAGCAACTTCAAAAGAAATAATTTTGACGGCAGACAATTTAAAGTGTGTTCTCACATCGAAACCAAAATTTAAACTCAGCATACTTATTCAAATCTGTTCTTTATGTGCACAAAAATACATTAAATTAATTCTCTAGATGTCAACGTCAGAAAAAAATAAGGAAGAGCTTCAAGTGCTATGGCTTCATTAATGTATTTATTTTTAAATAACAACTAAATAAAAATATAAAGATCCTTAAGAAGTCATTTTTTCTAATTGCTTTTGCTAGCAAGGCCATGCTTGCCAAAGTTCTATCTTTTATATTAATGCTGCTGTAACACTAATTGATGTAGACAGAGACAACATTCCATTACAAGTATTTGAACTAACATGGTCTAATTATTTAAGCATGAAGAGCTAAGTAAGGATTTGCCATACATTTGTGTGGGGTCTGCTTTTCATTTAATCCTAAATTCAAAGGGACAAAATCAAAGATATGGGATGAGAAATGGATGCAATTTATAATATTTTTCAAAAACATATTTTTTTTTTTCCTATTGAACTGTGTTCCCTGATGGCACGTGGCCTAGAGCCAAACTGTTGGCTGAGAAAACAATATTATCTCCTTCCCCTCCCAACAAACAAACTACAAAACTGATTTTGACAGCATTATCCATTTAGTCAAGTTTCATTAAGCTTCCAGTAAATCAAATGCAAATACCCAATATACAATTAATGGTTCACACATCGACTCTTTCCATCCAAAGAGACTTCTGCAGCTTGATCACAGGCCCAATTCACTGCCTAAACATTAAGTTTGTTCCCCAAATTTGCGCAGAAGCAGCTTCTTAACCGAACTCTGCACAACCACCTTTGTCTTTACTCCCACTCACAGAGCTCAGACAAGGACTTGGACAGGGTTAAGGCCTGATTAGACAATCTAGAAATCTGTTCCAGATCCTTTTGTACCCAGGAAACAAGAGAGAAGAGCTCAACTCACCCCTGCGTGACCTCCGCCCCTCAGCTCTCTCGTGAAGAATATTCATATGTTCAATATATTTGCTGCGGGATGAACTGACTACTCTGTAGGCCTGAAAGGAAATTACACCTGAATTTATTGCTATATCCCTACAGAGTTACCAAAAAAAAAGATGGGAGAGGGAGAGAAGGGTTTTTAAGCTCACCTCAAATTATGCTAAGCAAGTTTAAAAAAAATAATAATCTATTTTGTTATACTAAAATATTTATACATTTCATATTTCTCCATTGTTGGAAAGCAATTACAATATACCATGCAGCTTTCAAAGTGCTTCAGGAACTGAACGCAGTATTTTAAACAACAATTTAAAAAGCAACTACGGTAAAAAGATGACAGCAAGAGAATTTGTTATTCCTCCAGATACACAATCACACAAGTTCAATATTTTGAAAACGCAGAAGCGTGTTCAATCAAGAAGATTATTTTGTGGGAGGGGGAAACTTGTACCTCTCTGGGATGTGCTAGTCACTACCTCAAATCTTGGGGTGGGGTGGAAGGAAGCTACGAAATGGAGGCTTTAGGGACATGAAGCACAGAGTCTGATAGATTTAGATGCTGGGAAGAGAATGATTACCAAAAAGCATGACAGAAGTAGACATTTACAAAACTTTAACATGCTTTTTCTAAGTCATTAATATTCTTATCTTTCTTTGAGCACCAGTTAACAAGTTTCATAATCTTCCCTTTGTGGCTTCAGACAGCTTACTTCACATCTGTCTGGCCCACCTTGATATAGTCTTAATGTTTGTGGTTGACAAGAGAAGCCAAGGGGTTGGAGGCAGGCACCTTACTTCATTTTTATTTTTTTTTTTTTTACTCATTTCACATAGATTGAAATATGTTTTCCACTAGTGACAACAGCACTAGGTATCAAAGTTAACAATGAAACAGACGAGCAATAGACATTCTGTTTCACTAGCTCTCTTAAACTGGTTTTTAAGTTAGACTGTATTTAGTTATGTGGTATGACATCCTCGTTCTATTGAGGGTTTGTGTCTTAATCACATTCTTTAACCCGGAACACGCCTTACACCGTGCCAACTCAGAAAGCACAAACAACTCCATTCCCACACACTTACATAAAATAAACCACCAAAAGCAGCAACACCAGCAAGGAGATAGTACATCATGGTCTCTCCAGAAGAGCCAGGAACACTCCCCGATGACATCTGGCGAAGAGGTGCTATAAAAACCATTATTGAAATTGATGTGAAGTGCTGGTAAAATACGATGGACAAAACAGAATGACAGAATCTGAACTTTTCTATGGGAAGGGACGATTTAAAAAGCTGTAACAAAAGGGAGAGGTATAGTTTCACCACGTTTAGTACTCCCGGGTAACACAGGAATACAGCTGAGCTCTTCCTAAGAGTCTAAGACCTTCCATGAACTATGCTGTCTGCCTATCAGCTTCCAAGCATGGAATGCAGTCTATATAGACTAAGGAACTGCCTAAGGAATGTAGGGAAGGAAAAAAAAGGACTGAAAAAATGTTCCTGCCTAAGGCATGAAGAAGAATCAATTTGTCCTTATTCAGTCCTGCTGCAGTCAGAGGTAACGAATCCTCTTCCGTTTAATAACACAGCACTTTAGCAAAAAGCCTTTTCCTTTGAATTAACATTCTTTCATTCCCAAATGGATTGTTGAGATTTAGATACATGCCCATAACCTAAAGTATTGGCCAACAGGGCAGGCAGGTAGGATTACACAATTTTATCCCCGATCGAGTACATATTCACTATAATAACAGCGCTAGTCATTCATGTTTGTTTGCCACTTGCGTAGTTTTGATGCTTGCTAGAGCCCCGGATTCTTCTGTACATCTCAAAAAAAACCAACCCCACACGTAATTCTGTTCATCAACAAAGCTTTCAGCTGAATCTCATTACTTCATCCCAGCTGAGTAGAACCGATGAGAAACAACCCATCGAAAGGGGGGCTCATTCGACACAAAATGGCTCTGAGCATTGCAATCAGTAGCTGCAAAAATAGTCTCAATCTCAAAATATTGCTATGGTGTGCCAGATTATGTTTAGCATCATCTGTCTCATGACACACTTTTCAGGCTCCTCTTTGATAGCCAGGCTTCCCAATGGATCTTCTTACAGGGACACACAGGTTCCGCAGCAGTTTCTCGGCCATACCCCCTTCTCCAAGGCTCAGCGAGCCCGCAACCATCCAACACGGCTGGTGGATTATTATTATTATTTAATTTTTTTTGCTACTGGTTACACAATTCCCGATGCGCCAAAAGCCATGGCTGCAACACACCGGGCTGATTCACGCTCCCTCCCTTCCCTGCCAAGAGACCTCTGAGGGAACGCTGCTCCGGCCACCCTAAGGAGGGGGTGTGGGGAGGTTAAAACCCTTAAATTTTTTAATTTTCTCGAGGGGTGGGAGCAAGGAGGGGAGGGGGGGGTGATGGGGGTTACACCTGCCCGCCACCGATTCCAGG